CATTTACTTTACTTTTTATCATGCTAAAAACACCCACGGGACGCTTCGTAGTCCTCGATGGCCATAGTTAGCTCTCGAAGGCTAAAAACCTTACGCTAACTGGAGCGCTTCTCTCTCATTAGCGCTCCAGTGGCTCGACGGACATTCAAATAAACGAACGTTTCCTCGAATGCTTTACTTGTTATCATGCTAAAAACAGCCACGGGACGCTTCGTAGTCCTCGATGGCCATAGTTAGCTCTCGAAGGCTAAAAACCTTACGCTAACTGGAGCGCTTCTCTCTCATTAGCGCTCCAGTTAGCGTAAGGTTAACTGGAGCGCTAATGAGAGAGAAGCGCTCCAGTTAGCGTAAGGTTTTTAGCCTTCGAGAGCTAACTATGGCCATCGATGACTACGAAGCGTCCCGTGGCTGTCTTAAAAGTTCATTGCATGCCAGGAAGTATTTGTTATTGTTAGATTCAGACGAGGATGGACGTTGCATTGCTAAAATGGCTACAAAACGGACGTTTGGATGTCAAACAGCTTAGACAAGAAGAGCTCTGATGCTGGAAGAGAGGGTAAAAGTGATCAAAATAAATACGGAGCAAGCAAAATAAAAGACATTATCCAAGAAATTGATGTAAGTGAAAGTGAATACTGATCGTAAATTTCGCAATTTCTTTCCCTTTTTTTCTTTCTACACTGACAATATGAAGTGTCAAATAAGTGTGTCCTCATACTTATGCACTAATAGAATAAAAATAGAGTACACATACGTTTGTGTGTGCGTGTACACATACGTTTGTGTGTGTGTGGGTGTGGGCATGTCTGTGCTTACATCTGAGATCAAATTTGCTACAGTGAAAAACCCCCTGTTGTGAAAAATTTCTTGCTGCAAACATGATTTCGTTGTAGAGGAGTTTCACTGTAATTGTGTACTGAAGCTTGGTACTGTATTGATTTCTAATATTTGGATTATTGCAGTGCAGCAGGAATAATTGTCTGATTGTGGGACTGGGACTTCACAGATGTATCCTGTGCATCCAGGTATTTACCAGGACTCTGTATAACAGGCAAAAGGATACACTCGTTTGACACATAATGTGGTAGCATACCACCAAAAAAAGCAAAGAACCAGCAAACTACACTTCTGAAGTTCAGGCTAAATGCTCAAATCTGAAGCCCTGCGAGATTCACCATGCGCTATTAAGTTTATTTTCAGGAAATTCGGGCTCAAGTGCAAATTGTTAGACTGCTTTCTCAGTTTGACACACCACAAAAAATAATGCTGTTACTGTAACAATCGTACCAAATCTGAATGGGTGCGTACATACAATGAGACTTCCAAATCGAGAAAAAAAAAAACCCTCACGTCGGAAAAACTAGTGAAGAGAAGTTTTATATATAATAGCGTGAGAATCTATATAAATGGACTCTCACGCTCTCTAATTTGAATTGTATAGAACCGTATAATGTGTTGCTGCTCACTCGGCATCCATTGCAGCGTGGGCATCCCGAAAGGGCGATTCCCCCATCTGAGGTCCCTCTTCAGAGATTCTCGTTTTTTTTCCGAGACGTTTTTTTTGTTTGTTTGTTTGTTTGTTTGTTTCCCTTGCTCTCTTGGGGTTTAAGATAAGGGGATGTCGTTCGTATTTTTCACGTGTGCACTTGTTATTCTCATTCGTTATACGTTGTACGTCAGCAATTACCTTCAAACATGTATAATGAATCGCTAAACATATCTCCGCATTCACTTTCTAGGGGTCTTCAATGAACTTTCTACTCGTGATCCATTCGGTTCAGAAAGGGTCAGTGTGGATGAATTATGTCGAAAAAAAGGAACGACCTCGAAACTGTCTCGAATTGGATCCTTGAAGGTCGCCTACCGAGTGCAAAAAAGCTTACCAGAACGAATCGAAAATATTTTCCAATTACCTGAAACATGGAAAAGTCCTCACAATTTAATGCTCCGCCGGGCGCCGCCATAGTGGACCGAGCGGTCCTCTCACTCAAGGGTGTTCAACGCAAAGCCTTTTGTATCGATTTATCTATTTTCTGCTCACTTGAACTCACTAGAATGAAATATTTGATTCAAAATATTTTATTTGTGCTGTCAGTAGAAAAACAAGTTACCCTGTTAAGTTTAATCGAATAGTTTGTTGTTTTTTTTCATCAGGCAAAAGACACGGACAAGTATAAAACGGTGGTCCTTTGTCACACAAGGCTACTTGACTTTCATTAGCGGACGGCTGGCCGTGTTTACCTGCACGTACAACCGAACACAGGCGTACAAACAATATGAATTTCGTGAGATCCCGACTTTCAGTCACAAAGCTTTTGGGTTTGTATGAATTTAAATGTGATTTTTCATCGACACGTTTGGCTAAAGAGTGTTTACTTAACGGCCCGCTTTCGTTTAAGTGTTGTAACTTCCTGGTCGAGTAATGTAGAATAACAGTCCTACTTAAGCTTGATATTTTAGCCATTTGTTTGCTTTACATTCAAATAGAAAAATAATGTGAAAATAAATAGCACGTTTTAAATAAAATCCTACACCAAAAATAAAAATCTATTTTAATAATAAAAATACAATAATCATGCCTGAAATATTTATTGACATGCGCAGATAAAACTATACTCCCAGTCTGCTGAAATGGTGTCAAGTTACGGTAAGTTACCTTATTAATTGCTCCAGTTATCGAAACGATCAAAGCGTACCTCATTTTTTGGATCCATTTACTGTGTCACACTACTGCAGATTTGTGTGAGCAAGTGCTTGTTTTTGACATTCTCACCCCAACTTGGTGTATTTAGAGCACAAACCTGGAGACAACATAGTTGTATGGCCAACACTGCACGCGAAGCTACTGGGGATAAAACGGATAGTACAGTAGATTTATTCTATGGTTAAAATTCAAAATCATTTTTTTTCACAGGTCAGAGGTGCAGACTGGTCACGGAAACATGGAGCCACAGAGGGATGTGCAATAAACCGCAGGAGGTCAAAGCAGAGCTTCCCACTGCAGCTCCAGCAGAACGTAACATTAAGACACATGTGTACACACACTCACACGAAACAAAATATGACATGTGGTCTTTTGGCAGACTCCCCTCGTCTTGGCTTTAAGATCCCTGGTTACAGACCCTCGGAGATGGATAAGAAGATGCTGCTCTGGTCAGGACGCTACAAGACAGCGGACCAGATCCCAGAGTTGGTCTCGTAAGTGGACTCATCCTGTTTATCTGTGTTTTGTCAACGAGTCACATCACAGGATGGGGGGTGGGGATGGGGGGGGGCTGTTTTCATGGTAATTGCACTGCTTCCAGACAGGAGGGTGGAGATGCTCTTATGATAAGTTTCAGTGTAGTGGCATAGGTTTTGTCCCCCCCCCACCATCCCAGCAGAACGATAGAGTCCCCATGGGGGACCCTCCAAGGACTCCAAAAGGGTGGGTCTTCTGACCTGCTGTTTGGTGCATTGCCACAACCAATAGTCAGGATTTGTCCCCCGGGTCTGCAGCCCAGAAGAAGTATTCTTTTTTTTTTTTTCCTCTTCTTTAAGACCTTTACTCCAATGGCTTATTACGGTTACCAAGAGAGAGAAAAGACACAGATTCACATCAGTAGCAATTGGTGAGTGCAAGGGACGGCCCAGTCAATGTGACATCGAATTCGTTTTTAGCATAGCGCTCTGTGTTAAAATTAACCAGGTGCATTATTTTTACTGAGAACACCAGATACAGTGGTACCTCTATTTACGAACATCTCTTCATATGAAATTTTCAAGTTACAAAATGCCTCAACAGGAAAATATTGCCTCTTGTTATGAAACAAATTTCAAGATACCAAAGGTAAAAATGCATAATGGGCTGCTAATCGCAGCTCCGAGTTTACTGAATGCAACATTCTTATAGCTGCTTTGCCTGGCATCCCATTGGCTAAGAGGGACTTCTAACGTATGTGTCTATGTGTGTAGACAGATATGTGTCGATGCAGCGTCCTCGTCATTCGCCCCTCGGGCCATGAGGTGTTCCGATAGTTTTATGTAAATGTGAATCCCCAGAAAAAGTGTTGACCAGTCCAGCAATCGCTCACTATTATGATGTTTGCCTTGGACATTTTCGAAGGATTAAAAGCCGGCAAAAGCAAATGTCCTTAGATCCATTTTTTTTTTTCCAAACGTCAGGAAAAAAAAACACTTCTGAGATAAAACATGGAGTAAAGAGGGCAAAAAACGATGAGGATGCAGGTAAAAGTCAAATGACCATTTATATTCTTTAGTCTTTGCTTTTTTACATTATGCACAACTCTCATTTATTGTACAAAAATCTATTTGTAATATGTATTTGTTTCCTATTTTGTTGCATTTTTATGCTTTCGGAAACTTTATGTCTGAATTTTGGGGGGCTTGAAACGAATTAGGGTATTTACATGGAAAACGCGTCTCGGCTTAGATTTTCTCGTGAAGAAATTTCTTCCAGAACCAATTAATTTCATAAGTAGAGGTACCCCTGTAGTCATCAAATATCACTCCATTCTCCAATACCTCGCAATGGTTTGCAGGAATTGGACTTGAACTCGAGTCACTCGTCACATAGTGGCCAAAGCACGGACCCACGTATCGCAATGCCCTAATTTGTGTTTAAAGATGACACAGTTGCGGATCCTCTTCAGTTGCGTTATTCCCAGAAACACTAACAGAATGCACAATCATTCAGGAGCTGCTATTGGCCACAGTTCACATCCAGTCACCCCACACACCGACTCCTGCTTCAGCTAACCTTTCAAACTTAACACGGCACTCCCACCATTTCATCTGCAATGTTCCTTTGATCCTCCTTCCATCTCAAAGCCATCCCACGCACAATTAATAACCAGGCGAACGAGCAACTTTTAACACAAAGATTTACAAGCATGCTGACACCGCCACCTTCTTTAGCATGCTTTGAAGAACTGTCTGTGTAGAATTACATGAAGCCAGAAAGCCATCTTATGTTGCCACTGTTTCAGACGAGCTTCCGTTGTTGTTTTTTTTTTTCACTGAAAACACTATTTTAAGTGTGTGTAATGAGAGCCTGTAAGGTGTAAGGTCTTTCTGAGAACCAACTTCACAGTTTGGGTTGACCATTCAAAGTTACTTATCTCTATCGGATGAGGTGATGAGGTTTACATATTTGCAGCTTTGTTTTTATTTTAGTTTTGATGATTCCAACAACATGATGCAGACCAATATAAGTAGCACTCAGAGATATACCTGGGAAGGGAAAATTTTAAATTGCATACTTATCGACGAAATTTGCATGTAGTGCTTCTCCCAGCCTTATTGGTACAGATGAATGCCAAATATGCAGTGATAATTTGATAGTTTACCCCCAGCGAGTCCCAGGGACTCGCTGATCAGAAAGGTATGAGTCCCATTATGCATTTAGAGAGTCACAAATTTCGAATTCTGAAATGTTCTACTTATTCAATTGCATATGATAATAACACAAACAACATATACATACAATTACAAAAAAAATGCTGCAAAAATTTTAATAATTCAGGCATACAATATTTGCTGAGAAATAGGTTCTTATTTCATCCCATGGTTCAGTCTTTGAGTTCAAAAATTCTCCTCTTTACTCTGCTTCCAATGATGCAAAGCTTTCTCAAAGTCAACTTATTATTGCAAAAAACTACCCAACTTACCTGCTTCCTCTGTGATATCTCCGCAATAAACTTTCGCAACACTTGTTCGCAACACTTGTTTGAACGTTACACAACTTGGATATCGTATGCTTTCCGCGAGGTGAAGGCCGAGCTCGCCAATCTCGTCACACGAGACTTAACGCGAGATCAAAACAACAATGGTGGCGATTGTCAAACTGCGATCGTTGCAGGAAAAAAAGATGTATTGTAGCAGGCCTGAGGATTTCAGAAATTCGCAGAAACCGTTTTTCGGTTCCGTCGGGTTACCCAATGGGAAACCACGGTAACTAATTTTGGGTTCCGTAAACGTTCATCAAGGGAACCCATTTTTCTATTTTGACTGATATTCATAAACAATAATTCTGATACTCAAAAGTATAATGTTTCAAGGGTAAATGTTTGAAAACTGCATTAACAATGATCATTACATCAGCAGCTATGTACTCCAGGTTTATTCAACAAAATAAATGGATCAAAATATGGTGTACTCATGGCATCATGAATACAGCATACCACAAAATCAGAGTATTTTTTCCAGTCTCACACTGCAAAGATTAATTGACTGGTAATCATTAATACAGGCAAGTATTGATGTGGCTTGACATCCTCTTCCCTAGATAATGCATGTGTAATCTATCAATTTGACGAAAGAATCTACCACACCTCATTGTTAGTTCTACCGACAGTTAACATGAGCATTACTACACCTTGTGACGAATGTTTTATTCATAAAGTTAGCATGCTACAACCAGTAAATTATAGAACAGCCAAGACTGTTTCATAATATTTTTCATAGTGATTAGCCTATAAATCTAATGACCAACTTGCCTCGTAATCGTGCCTCCCGTCGTATCTCGCTCTCGTGTTCTGTGCACACATCACAGGTGAGTTTAGTGATACGTCCGAAGGTATCACGCCGTTCAGACTGGCATTCCCATTTCTTAATTGTCATAATTAGTAGACCTTTGTGTGTTTTTTTCGCCGCCATCTCAAACTTTCATCCGCGCGATTCCTCAGTTTACGGACTAAAATAGCAACCCGCAAGCGCACATAACGTGATCTGTTCCGCCCCCACCCCAACACTGAAAACAAAACAAAACAAAAGTAAATTAGAAGAAACACACTCACACATCACACCACAAACACACATACAGGCACAGTGAAATCGCGTTGATCACACAGGAGAGATTCGATCGCGTACAGTCAACTTGGGTGCGGTGACTTTTATGGGAAACGACTTTTCGGTCCTGTCAAAATGACGTCACAGAAACGACACGGTACCGGTAACGATCGTTACCATGAAATCCTCAGGCCTGCCATAGTTTTTTTTTTTTTTGTTTTGACTGAGAAATTTCCTTGCGTACCAAAAACGCACATTTGGAACTGTGCGTCCCACGGGAAATTTATGCGTCTAGGACGCGGGACGCAGAGGTAACGAGATGGCTGAGTGCATTAAACGCAATCTTATTAAACATAGTGTGTGGGTGTGACTATCAATAACATAAACTGGAAAAACAAAGTGAAAGTCTGAACAAAAATGCTCCCCAAAAGATAATCATAGTCAGCGAATTACAAGATGTAATTCGTGAAATTTGCAGCCAAAGTGCAGGTTAACTATGTAATTTAGTGGAAGAGGTGTAATGTATGATATAATACAAATACCTGTTATTTTCAGCACTATAAGGCGCACTTAAAAGCATAACATTTTCCCAAAAGCAGACAATACGCCCAATAATCCGGTGCACCTAATATGTGGTGCTCCAGTGTCTCCGCGAGAGTGGCTGCCTTTCCAGCAGCTTCTATATTTTGTTGTTCTACTTCTTCCTTTCATAACTTTGCTGCTGTGAATTGGGAATTTCTCCATTGCGAGACTTATAAAGGTTTTCTTATCTTTTCTTATCTTATATTCCCCATTGAGTTGTTTCCCTGTTTGTGGTCCGATGCCATCTAGTGGTGATTATTAGCAGGAACCAATGTAACCTATAAAGGTTCTGCCCGACACTAATTGACCTGCAACTACTTTGTGAGCTCTGCATAGCTATTATGAAACAAAGATATTACCAAAAGCATCGTTAACTACTGACTAAACGAAGGAAGGAGATAAGCAAGACATCGAAGGATACATCGCCGCTTTTGGATGTGAGCCCATGAAGTTTCTGTTTTGTTCTGTTGTCTGTTTTGTAATGCCATTTGAATTTGTTTCATGTCCGTGTTTGTGACTAGCTCTAATGGCTTTGTTACAGGTGGAGCAGTTGTGAAAACCCTAAATAACTAAAGCTGTATTGTATTCCCTTTAGTGTAGCTCCCTCTAGTGGATGCATAGCACAACTGCAGCCATTATTGTAGCTTCTATGTGCCTTATAACGCAGTGCACCCTGTATATGAAAACCATTTTAAAATAGGCCATTCATTGAAGGCACGCCTTATAATACGGAGTGCCGTGTGTGTGTGTGTGTGTGTGTGTGTGTGTGTGTGTGTGTGTGTGTGTGTGTGTGTGTGTGTGTGTGCGTATGTGTGAGAGAGACACACACACACGCACACACTATGGAGAAGACAAAAACAAATTTATCACACTCGTGTGTACGTCACAGGCCGAGCCAAATTATGAAAAAAAAACCCTGTGACTTGTCGTCCAAAAAAATGCGCTATATTACCGGTCCTGTCTGCCATAAATGACTTGTTCCATTTTGTGTGTCCTTGCCCCAGATATGAAATGCTCGACGCTGCCAGAAACAAAGTACGAGTGAAAGCCTGCTACGTGATGATGGTGGTCACAATCGGTGCCTGCTTGTTGATGGTCGTCCTGGGTAAACGGGTGAGTTGTTTTGTTTTTTTTTTTTCATGTTGGGTGGGTGGGAAGGAATTGTGCTCCAAATACAGTGGAACATCTTCATGTTAGTCAACGTTTGAATTTTGCTAAATGTCCCATGAGCTTAATTGACAAACCTTGGTGGCTTTGGTTGAGATAATCTGTGACTGCTGTCGTGCATTTGATTTTAGTCATTTGGATGGCTATGTTAGCTTTTCATATGAGCGCCGTTACCAGTCTTATTGTGGTAGGTTTGCACATTTTTTTTAACATGTTGCAGCCATAAATTTCTAAGTGAATGATGATTTGCTGAAATATATAAATTTCATTGTTTTGAAGATAAAAAAAAATCATCTTTGTATTATATTTAGTTAAATAGAAGTTGATTGAACATCTGCATATCATTGTATTCCGTTTTTATTTATTTAACATGACATCCCAACTTTATGTTAGTGCTTGCACTGTATTGTACTAGAAAGTCTTCGATTCGTTTATTTTAGGCTGCTGGCAGAAATGAGTCCCTGACTGGTCAGAACATGGAGAGGAAGGCCAAATGGAGGGAGGAAGTCCAGAGAGAGCAGGAAACCACCATCGCCAAGGCTCAGTGACGCAGAGACGACAGTGTACCTGCAAGAGAATCCTCTCTTCCCTCAATAAATTGGAGCGATACAGCGGCACTCGACTCACTTGTACATGTCTATCGTTAAACATATTCAAAGTGAATGAGACATATTGTTTGGGAAACATACTGTATAAATGCCATTTTCACAAACAGTGGCCAGGGGAGCCATTTACATAACCACAGATGGGAAGAGGTACTGACACATTTTCATCTAATAAACTGGTAGATAAAATATAATATCTATTATACATTTTGCAGCATCCCCAATTGTAAAAAGCATATTTTCTAATAAAATCTGGATGAAAAAAACCACTGGTTTTCTGGTCAGCAACAGAGGTATGATCTCTGCATTTTAATGAGAATGATGTTGGAGCATGTTCTCCCGTGGGCTTAAAGGTCAACCATCGTGTGAGCAATACTTAGAACTCAAAATATTTCAAGCATACTTTGTTAGTTCTTTTTTTCGTAACCCACCCCAGATTCATAGTTAGACACATAGCAAGGCGCTTAACAACGAAAATGTTTTTGTTGCGTAAACTCAGACCAGTGATGTCATTGACAGAATGTGTGCCAGTCAGCCATTGCACTGCATTGTTGATTGTCCCATTAACTGTTCTTTGCCAATGTTATCTAGTTATTTGGCAAAATGCTTTGTGGCTGTGTGGTGACACGCCGTTGACATTCAGGCAAACAGTTTGAGTGGCCAAAAGAAAAGAATATGGACCAGAAAATTGGAATGATACCGTTTTGTTCTTGCAAAGCGAATGAATTTCACACCGGTGTTGACGAGCATTCTGTTACAAGTACTTCGAAGACTGTTTTCTCAACCGGAATTGCAAAAAAAGTAAGGTGTGACAATCAATGAATAATTGGCTGTTGTTTATGAAAACATTTGATTCAAAGTATACATGTACATGGATGTATTCCTGTATGCAAATATTTCTTAACTATATGAGTGCCATTGTTAATGGTTTGCAACTAACAATACAGTCAATATCATGCACGTAGTGGTCGACAACGCAATGGAACTACCTTAGCAATGACAATGTAGGACACCAGCATACTATAACGTGTGCTCTCAGTGCTTGCGGGAATAGATGGATTATGTAGGCAATCCCATTGTGCGCAATTTACAGCAAGGCACTGTATTCGAATTGCAAACAATAACGCTAGGCTCATATCCGCAGCCGAAATAGATTACCGTTGTTCCAATCACGATGGGTCTCATCTCCACTCCATGTCCAGCCGTTAGGACACATTTTCCAAAACTTGACGTGTGGCTCGTGCATGTATGGTCCAATATACATCTTGCCAACAACCTCCTCATCCGCCAACTCTTCAAACACCCGGATCCAGTAAAATAAGTTAGAAATGTCGTCACCTGCGTTTTGTTTTACTTCTCCAGGTACGGAGAATCTCAAGCATATGTAGGTATCACAAATTTTCTTTATCAGGAGATGTTAGGGTATAAATATGCAGTCAGTGACACTCCTAAACCTTTGGAGCTGATGGACCTTCCAACAGGATAACAATTCCAAACATCCCTCCAAATCATCCACTTGTGCTTGGTTGCAGACGAAGGGCTGGAAGTTTCTTAAGTGGCCATTTCAATCACCCAATTTAAATCCCGTTGGTAATGTCTGGCGGGACTTGAAGACAATTACAGCACACAAGCCCAAGAATGTCAATGAACTGGGGGCCTTTGTCCCATTTGGAATGGGAAGTGACACCTGTAGATGGCTGCGAGAACCTTATTCAAGTCTGGTATTGCAAAAAAGTGTTGTGGATATGTACTAAGTACATTAGTGACTAATTGGTTGAATAATTTTGGTAGTGACGAAATCATTTTGGTGTATAACCAAAAAAAATTGTAAATTAAGCCGCATTTGCTCAGTCCTTAGTTGATGTGATTCAAAACAGAATCCATCCATTTTCAGAACAGATTTATCCTCACAAGGGTTGCGGGGTGCTGGAGCCTATCCCAGCCGTCTTCGGGCAGTAAGCGGGGTGAACCCTGAACCGGTCGCCAGCCAACAGCATGGCACACAGAGACAAACAACCATTCATGCTCACACTCACACCTAGGGACAATTCAGAGTGTTCCATTAACGTGTCATGCATGTTTTCAGAAAATGTTGAGGAAACCCGTGTGGGCTCGGGGAGAAAATGCAAATTTCACACAAGAAGTCAGGACCCGGAATCAAATACTGCACCGCTGCATTGTGAGACAGACATGTTAATCAGCTGACCACCTTGACGCCCCATAAGCACAATGTATGGTATTCATTTTTTAAAGATTTTCTTTTAAAAAATCAGACAAAAAGGTCAACAACATGTCAGATTTCAGAGGCCTTTTATTTTGAAATGGAACATCAGATCTGAATGAGAGTCGTCCAGTTGGATACCTGACGTGCCCTAGTATGTACTAGATCTGGTCTGGTTGAAGGATAACTAAAATGTATTTTTTAAAAGATTTTTTGAAAATCAGGTGAAAAGGTCAAGATTGCGGATTTTAGAGGCCTTTTCTTTTGAAATGGAACATCAGATCTGAATGACACTAGTCTGGTTGGATACCTAATGTGGCCTCGTCTGTCCTTGACCTGGTCTGGTTGAGGGATAACTAAAATTCATTTTTATTTATTTTTTTAAATCAAGCAAAAAGGTCAACATGGCAGATCTCAGAGGCCTTTTATTTTGAAATGGAACATCAAATCTGAATGACAGTCCTGTGATTGGATACCTTGGGTGCCCCAGTAGGTCCTAGACTTGGTCAGGTTGAGGGATCACTAAAATTCATTCCAAAAAAAAATTTTTTTTTAATCAGGTGAAATTTTAGTTATTGATGTAGGGCAGGGGTGCCCAACCTTTTTTGACCGAAGATCAACTTTTCAAGCAACCGACCTCCCGCGATCGACCTGCTACTACACACACACACACAGAGGGACGCCATAATGAGCAACAGCCATAACGGCCCCAAACATGAACGAAACAGAAAAATAAAGTGGATGCAAGAGCTTGTGAGTTTGTAAAAAGGATTCAGTGCCTACCTTAGTCGAGACCGGACGTGGCGTCATGAGACCCACTTTGGCAGCATCTCTTCAGTGCAACATCACCACCATCGTAGCTCACATTTTAAAACGCTTCTCTTGGCGCTCCCAAATTCCCATTCTTTGCCAGTGCCATCGGTGAATTGTACATGAATCAAACTTGAGAATGAGAATAATAAAAATAAAAAAAGATACAAGGCAACAGCTGTGATTGCAAGCTGCAATTGCAGACTGCTGACCGCTAACAACCTCCGGTGATGCAGGTCACACGCCGCCACAATTTGAGCAAATTTGGTACCTGTCTGAATGACTGTCTAAAGTGCCCGAAAAGGCAGTTGTTAGATTTCGATTGTTTATAGGTATCTTGGTTCATAGTACAAAAAAATGTCACAATCAATTCATTAAAAGTAATTCTTTTCAAGGTTGTCATGTGGATTTGCAGATCAAAATGATAGGGACTGCACTCAGAGGGTCACGAGATTCCTTTTATGCAAAGGGCAATAGAAGGGGGACAAGTCGCACAAACTCAACATGAGAGCGTTGATCATTCCATGTAGAGAAAGTTGCCTCTTACAGAGATTTCCCATGACGTCGCACATTTCTGGAAATGCCTGAGGCCGCCATGTTGGGGGTCAACGTACTGTCGTGTTCTGGTGCTCTGTGCATGTGTCAATCGAGAAATCTGCAGTGTGCAACAAAACAAGTCAAATTGTCAGCTCATCAAGACCTGTGCCAATTTTGAACCAGTGTGAAAGGGAAGGGAAAAAAAACAACTATTCATTGAAAAATAAATGGTGGCTTTCACCCTGGCTAGATATCCATGAGTAAACACTTCATAACAAAGTTGGCAATCTAGAGGAAGAAAACGTTTCTGGGGTTTCCACAGGTGAACCTGTCGGAGGAGAACTATTGAGGCGCCAGTCAGGGTTGAAAGTGGTTGTAATCTTCTTCCTAATGTCAACCTCCAACTCGGCGGACAATCGAATACCGATCACATGATCGAATTTTATCTATAAGCAAACATCCAGATAAACATTCCGGCGATCGGCCAGTATTTTTCAAGTTTCCCATTGAAATGATCTGGATTGATGAATATTTTACGGCACCACGTGAACCATGCTAAGATTCAGATCCCTCCGCCCACCAACCCCCGACCCGCCCTAAGATGATCCGTGAGTTAAATATTTGGCATAAAGAAGAAAACACTATGGCAGAACACAGCATGGGAAAGCCATGTCGTCAGCCAATTCTCAGTCCAACTGAAGTTAGCGTGCCAGTCCACGATATGCCAGAGTCCCTTTTTTTTTTTTGTTGGAGTGGGGCGGGCGGGGCATGATTAGAAAGTACTCCTAGTCAGGGGACTCACCATGTGATCAACCAGTTGAGTCAAATTTGTTCACAACGAACAGGCGTCAGTCCTGAAAGCTAAAGTGCAGTGAAAATGAAATGATTGTGAGCACCAAAAAAAAAAAAAAAAAAAAATCCCCACTGGAGAGTGTTCCAGGCTTTTTGTATGAGGGAAGACTGCATCGAATGAATGTTTCCATTCCATGGGAGTATAAGAGGCCGTCCAAACGAGGGTGATATGGAAGCTCCGCCCTCAGCAATGAAGTCAAATTCCTGATTTGTCCATCAATAGGCTGAAAGAAAGAGGGAAGAGGGGAGGAGGTGGGCGTCTTAAGTGCCTTTTCGTCAGTTGAGTCGAGGTCAAAATGTGGTCTCGTTGGTCAGTCTAGTGTCAAGGTGAGGTCTATGTCACTCACTCATTCAATCATTCATTTATTCGCTCGCTCCGCTCAGTTGCCAAAGCAGCAGGATATATTTTGGGGATGACGAAAAGGGGCGAGCTTCACACAGGACAGCAGACCCACGCTCCAGTAATTGGACATAATCACAATCGAGAAGGAGGGAAGATGGATGGGTCGCTCTCGCCAGTGTTGGAGGACCGAGCGGGTAGACATTATAGCTGGAAGCCTTCCATGGGTGCCTCGCACTGCTGGAAGAGGAACTGCTGCTGCTGCAGGTCCACGGCGGGGACCAGCGAGGCATCTTCATCCTCGGCGTTGAAGTAGCGCTCGATCAGGTCGTAGGCTTTCTGGTAGATGTCCTGGTTCTCGTGGCCCTGCAGGAACTCCAGCTTGTCCAGACCTGAAGCACATCAAGCATAAGCGAAATGTGACAACTTTGCCCTTTTCGTGGGTTTTTAAGGCTGCTGCACATCAAACGTTGAGACTGAACTGGACAATTGGGAACAAACTACAGTCGGTGTCTCACCTTCACATAATTGTCCCACCTAACATCCGGCTACAGCGGAAAAACTAACGCCTGGTTTTCATGTACAGTGGCCTAGGAATAGCAAAAATTATTTTGAAAAGCCGCCAACTGGGTAGCCCTGGCATATGCTGGGAAAAAAAAAACTGTTGAACAGTTTATTCAGCTCCATTAAAATGGCATAGGCAGACAAAGTATCTCACAAAAGTGAGGTCATTTCTGCATGTTTGATTATCTTCCCATGGGACAACATAAAGGAAATGAACCTTTGACAAAATGAAAAGTGTGCAACTTGTATAACCGTGAATGCGGTGTTCCGTCAAAATTAACTCCAACTACAGCTGTTAATAGCTTAACCCCTAGCAACAAAAGTGAGCCGACCCCCAGCACGAGTCGGGGACGACTATTTCAGAGAATTCCCCTCCTCCTGTGATTTTTTTTTAATTACAGGACTGTAGTGACCGAATAGTGACCCGGCAGTATTAAGTTCTGCAAGGTCGTGACGTTTGAATGCACCCAGGGATAGAGGTGAAAGCGAGCTTGTATTTAGAAACGCAAAGGTAAACGGGTGCACGGACAGCAAAATGACAAAAAATATACAAAAAGTGTAATCAAAAAGTTGACATTGCCTTGACTATCATGACCTGAACGTGCAACTAGAAAAATATCTGTCAACCCAAAATGAGGACTTCTAGCCACCAGTCATGATCGCGATTTCTAAGAGACAGAACTGCCCACATAAAAATGTGTGATTTCAACCACGTTGTGACATATTCCTGGATAAGCCGTGGTGCATCAGCCACTGTACGTACCGTAAGCCTCCTCGATGAGTGCACAGTAGGGGTTGATGCCGCCCCCTCTCTTGGCCTCCAGATCGCCCAGCCGCAGGATGTTCTCAATGCCATTCAGGGCGACCTGCACTATTTTGGAGTCCATCAGTGTGAGCAAATCACACAGGGGTTTTATGCACCCTAGGTCCACCAGATGTCTGCACCGGGTAGTAGATACACACAAGCAAATGAATGGTTAGGAGTGACGCCAAGAAGCTCTGTGACACCATCCCTATATAACGCCAAGAGCATATTGAAGACTGCGCGGCACCGTTTATGTGCTGCCGTTTTGGTGCCTGCGCTTCTGAGGGACCGCCAGGCATGTTTGAGACTAAAGACTTGGATGAACCGCAACCGTCCTTGTTTTCATACGATCAGCCAATAACGCGAGTTGCTCGTGCTGAATCAATCATGTGGCTTGAAAAGAAAGAACCATGCCAAGTGAAGTTGACGCATGAAGCACATGAGTAAGTAGCCAGACGCAAGAGGTAGTGAAGTTTGTACTGCTGAAGTCATGAGAGCCGGCGCACTCAGCATTTTGTCCGCATTACTGCCGCAGCATTTCGGTCATGTGGACCAGTCAGCCATACATCAGGCCATTTCTTGTGATGTGGTCACATGGTCCTTCTGTTACAAGGGAGCCGATGGAGTGCTGCAGAAGCCCAGTGACGTACCTTCGGACGGTTCGGCCAAAATGCAATTTTTAAGCACAATTTATGTTAGACCTGGACAAGACCAAGACGAGGGAGCCACTTTTAATACTGCAATATCTTGAATACAGTATGTCACTGTATTCAAGATATTGCAGAGCCACTTTTAATACTGCAATATCTTGAATACAGTGACATGTCTAGTAAGGGAAAAACTCTATACAAAGCCATCTGGCCTTGTGTGAAAGAGTCATTTTCCCTTCAGAAAGCTGTCTGATTTGAGACTCCTCACATTCACATGCCACTGGATTAAAGACACTATTTCCCAGGCACAAACAGAGCAACTTCAAGAGGAAGGTCTACTATTTAAAGAAATGCCAACACGGAATTATTTTCATACCATAACCTAGAATCATTGGACAATGTATGTTTATAAACCCTTAACCTGGAAAGGCTACTGAGCGACAATAGCGGGGAAAATATCCCTGTGAGGAGTCCAACCTGATCTGCTCCGCGGAGCCCCCTGAGGTGGCGTTGGTAATCGCCCATGCCGCCTCCTTCCTTGTGCGGAACTCTGCCACTTGCAGGATGTTGATGAGAGGAGGCAGCAGATTAGCATCGATCACCATCTGCACTGGGACAGTATGATTTGGTTAACACTGCACCAAGTGTGGGGTTTTTGGCCGTTATTCGACGGGAGGTCACGCACCTGTATTTGTGCTCGGTTCCCTGCTGTGATGTTAGAGATGGTCCAGCAAGCTTCCTTCTTGATGGACTCTTTGGGGCTGTTCAGGAGGTGGAGAAGGGACTGCAGGGCTGAACAGTTGAGGATGACCTAGAACAAAACATGCATCACAACATTCAGAGCGCTGCAGAACTTTGTGTGCGTGCATGCATGTGTGTGCGTGAGATTCTGAATGTTGCAATTACCTGTGTCTGGAAATCATCACCAGTGACGATGTTACCAACAGCTCGTAGAGCGGGAGATACCACCTTGTAATCAGTGTGCCTGGAACAAAACACTTGTTCATATTATAGAAGACTTACAGTCAAAGTATTTGCTGCCTCCGAAAATGCATATTTTTGCAGTTTTGTTTAAAAATCACGAAACAAATGCAAAGATCAGACAAATATGACCTAACTAGTAACAACTGTAAATAGCACAGCCACCATATACCAGTTGCATATATTGCACTTGTGTTGAACTGTGCACAGCTCTCTTTATCTACATTTATTTTTGTGCTTGCAAACACTGTTTTTCTTCTTTCTACCCCCCAAATTTGCTGCTGTCGACTGTAAATTTCCCCAGTGTGGGACAAATAAAGGATATCTGACACTGTGAAAAAGTACTTGCCCGACTTGATATATTGGTCGCTGTTAAATTCTAAACAATTAGTTGTTTCTTTCTCTCTTTTTTTTTTTACAGCTTATCAGACTGCCATGACACAAAGTCTGTGGTGTGTGTGTGTGTGTGTGTGTGTGTGCGCGCGCGTGTGCATTTTTTGTGGGCTGGAAAGGGTTTATGTCATTTCAATTTAATTTATTCAAAATAGATTGGTACCTCGACTTACGAACGCCGCTTCATACAAAATGTTCAAGTTATGAAAGGCCTCAAGAGGAAAATATCAAGATACGAAAGGGAAAAATACAGTCTGGGCTGCTACTCGGAGCTCCGAGTTTCCTGAATGCAACATACTTCTCGCTGCTCTGCCATTGGCTATTACCTAGCATCTTCCTGGCATCCCATTGGCTAAGAGGGACCTCTACCGTATGTGTGTCGATAGATAACTAGATATGTGTCTATGCAGCATCCTCATCATTCACCCCTCGGGCCATTAGGCGTTTCGATAGTTTTACGTAAATGTGAATCACCCAGAAAAAGTGTTGACCAGTCGGGTGATCGCTCACTATGCTGATGCTTGCTATGGACATTTTCAAAGGATTGTTAAAAGACGACAAAAGCAAACGTCCTTGAATCAGTTCTTTACAAAATGCCACGCAAAAAAACACTTCTGAGAGAGAACATAACCTAAAGAGGGCAAAAAACGATGGGTGCGCAGTTAAAAGTTAAATGACCATCATTTTTATTCTTTATTCTTCGTGACAGTATGCACAACTCATTTATTGTGCAATAATCTAATTGTAACATGTATTGGTTACATATTTTGATGCATGTTTATGCTTTACAAAAAAGAGAGATTACATGGAAAACACGTCTACTTTTTCTAGTTAAGAAATTTCTTCTACAACCAATTGATTTCGTAAGTCGAGGTATGACTGTACAAGCATTGCGAGCTTGGCCATGGAACTTACACAACCAACAGTCAACACTTTGAACATTTGCCATTTGCTAAGTGCTAGCATGCTTGCGGTGATGAAGTGGCGAGTAGCGTTAATGTGTTGTGATCATCACCAACCCCAACCGACCCCAAAAACAGCAAGATGGTTCAATAAAGAACATTGCATCGTCTAAGAAAGCAAGCCATTTTCAACTTGAGACTGGTGAATAATTCGGAAAAAAATAATACACATATGTGGAGACCAACTTATAGTATCGATTTATTTTTAAACATGACATTGGCCGAATTGTAACATGAGATATCGCCCCAACGCCAGCGATATACTGCTGGTTCGGGCAAGGCCACCACAATTTAGCTTGTAGTGGCCCTCCCCAAGGATTTAATGTGGAGCCCTGAGAAAAGTCAAAACAATTCTGATATTTTGGAAAAATTTCAAATGCAAACATGCAACTTAGCACATTTACCCCCAACCCCCACACACACACACACAGTGATGCTTACATCAATAGCTCCACCAGCCTGCGACAAACCCCCGAGTCGATGACGGCCTGGATTTTGTCATTGGGCCCGTCCGACAGGTACGAAAGAGCCCAGCAAGCATCGGCCATGATGTCAGTGTCATTGACGAACAGCAGCCAAGAAAGCACGCTGAGACATGGGGACACCTGTGACAATAACACAATTCCGATGAACACGATGTCTGGCTGTTTTCATTCTTCCATGTATCATTACAGTTAAGTGTAGTGGAATCTCGGTTTTCTAGAATAATTCATTCCACAAGACATGACAATGTAAACCCAAATGATCTGATCGAAACACCCAAAAACGTTGGCCCAAAGGAAAAAAAAAACATGTACTCGGTGTATATATATATATATATATATATATATATACACAGTAAATATTCTCTCGTGCGGACTCGTGTTTGCGCTGTCCAATTTGTCCTGATAACAGAAATTCCTCATTTGGGAAATGAGCATGGTACATGTCCTTTATGAACCTGCAAGTATGTTGACAAAAATGCACGTGTAACAACACAATCAATAAAATACAAAAATA